CCGAGCCCAGCCCCGAGCCCGCCTCCACCCAGAACCTTGACGTCGCCCCGAGGACTTTGCCTCCCGGTTTAGACCTCCCTGACCTGCTTTTGAACCTGATAATCCTGCCTCGAACTCTGGCCAGAAGGGATCCCTCGCCGCGACTTGGCGCGCTAATTCCCGCCGCCCCGCCGCCCCGCCGCTCTCCGCCCCGGACTCTGCAGGACAGGCTTCGGGCCTCTGGTTCGCAGGCGGGGACCCCCGGCATCACCCCATCCCACGCTCACGTGCCCTCCGACCCAAACAGACAGCCCCGTGTTGCAAACAGTCTTTCCTTTCTTGCTTTCTCTTGTGTTCCCTTACAAAGAACAAAATCTTGGGTAACATACTAAGCTGGTGACGCTGCGGGGGAGCTGGCAGTGCAATGAGGGCGCGGAAAGGGGAAGCCAAAGACCAGGGCGCTGGCGAAGGCAAAAAAGGCGGGACGGAGAACAGAGGACCGTGTGACTTCACTCCTGTTTTAAAGAGGGGAGGGAGGTGAAAATGTATGTTCGGATGGAGCAAGACCCTGGGGCTCCTGAGGATGGGACTGGGGGTCTGAACAGACACCTTATACTCTACTCCTTTGTGTTGTTCAGCGTCCCCCCCCCCGTAAATGTTTTCCTTTTTTAAAAAATTAAAATAGTTTTAAAAGTAAATGAAATTAGTGCACACCATATGCACTTACAAACTAGATCACACACACACACACACACACGCATATTTGTTTGGGTTTGCATATTTGTTTAGGGTTTTTGTATTTTTGTTTTGTCAGCTAACTGAACATGAGGTACCATGGTTCCCCTTCTTTATGACAGGGCCGCTGAGGCTGTGCAAAAGCACTGCTTTTCATTTTTACATATTGATAGATTTTAGAGAGGAAGAGGGCGAGAGAGACGTTGGTTTGTTGTTCCGCTGATCTATGCACTCACTGGTTGATTTCTGCATGTGCCCTGCCCAGGATGAGACCTGCAACCTTGGTGTGTCAGCTCCAGGTTCTGGCCAACCGAGCTACCTGGCCAGAACCAAAAGCACCACTTTTAGGGGAGTTATTTTCAGAGGTGGTTTTCTAGCCAGTTCGTTGCCAACTGGCACCTGTGAGCCACGAGTGGAGTGGCCCTGAGAGATCGACCTCAGAGTCCCCTGCCTTGACCCCACCTCAGGTTTCATTGTCCAAGAGCAGGTTAACTGCTGCTGAGATTTAGACTCTACCACTGACTTAGGTCTATTTAGTTCACAACTGCCCCCCTCTCCCCTGTGCCTGGCATATAGTAGTAGGTCCATAAATAGTTGTTGGGTGAGGAATGTTCCAACCTGTGTGCATCGGCTCCTGGAGAATCCTTCCCAGTAGATACAGATTTCTGGCAACAAGGGGGTGGGGTGAGGGGATAGGCTCCCTGAGCGAGGATCTCCAGGGTGCTGTGGCGGGTGGTCAGGGCGTTTCCAGCATTACCACATAGGCTGACAGTCACCCACCACTGCTGCCTCGCAGCTTCTCACCCTTCCCTTTCAGAAGTCCTTTTTCAGGGGCAGGAGATGGAGAATTCTTCCAGGCTCTCCCCACCCTTGTATCTGGGTAACCTCCTATCTTTCTCAGCTGGCCAGGGGCCACACCCCACACCCTGGAGAGGCCCCAGGCGCTAGAATCTGGACCAACCTGACCTAGAAAGCAAGGAAGCCTCAGCCAGTGCGTAGGGGAAACCCCAGAGGCAGAGCAGCTGCAAAAGGGGTGCCAGCAACCGGGCTCCCCCGCCACCCCTCCCTCCGCTTCCCTTCATGAGCTCAGCCCACAACCCACCTTTGGGTGACGCTGATCTCAAATGATCACTTCTTGAGGCAGCAGCACCTAAGACTGGCAGTTTCCCTGGCACTGGGGAACAGGGACAGGGGTGGTTGGGTGACCTTGAGTGTGCGGTGTTGCAGCTGTGCCACAAAGGCAAAAAGGAGCCACGTGTACATGGGAAGCCTCTGTGGGAAGCTCTCTGGGGCACAGTCAGGGAGGACAGTGGAGCAGTAGCCCTCGATA